ATTTATCATTTCAGCCGTGAACTGTCCACTGCTGAACATAAGTCTTCCCCATAAAAGGAGTGTTGCCAATAGTTCTCACGCTTGGCAGGTAGGTTGGCAAGCGCAGTTAGGCTTTTGAGATGTTTTAAGAGGGACGCTGCTGCCCATCGCTCTACAATTAAGTTGCTTTAGTCGCCTCTCATGACGCCCACATTAGAAGAATGGGTAGCCTATTCTGTGTCGGAATCACAAGGATACGGATACGAATTCCACACAATACAGTAGGGCAACTTATTTGACTTTATTACTCCACCAACAAATTATGCACACAGGGTTACTATTTCATTTTCAAAGGCAAAAAAATGTAATGATTTCAATTTACTTCTGCAAAATAATCTAGTCTTGTCTAAGTCTACAATCTGTTAATGGATTACCGTTTTCACATAACATTTATTATTTAAAAAAACTTAATTACTAAAAATTAACTGTATTAATGCCGTAGTTAAGGTTAGAAAAACGGTTCTTCAAAACATGGATAAAAAGTTTACCTCATGGTCGGCAACGCGTGTGTAATGCCCCTGGTATTACAGGCGTTCATAGGCTACGATAACCGCTCAATATCAGGTGGCCCGTATGCTTGTTTGCCACCTCAGTGTTATAAAAAAAAATCCATTACATTAATCTAACCATTACAAGTTTTTGAGAGTTTAGTGACTCTGTTGCCAACTTCATACATCTGTAGTGTGTATTTAGAAATTATCATGTAAAAAAGTTACAAAACGGAAATACAAGTAAGCGTTGGGGAGTTAAACCAATAATGTTAGTTACCAATTCTTGGACAAGGGAGCGAAATGAACTAGTTCTGTCGAGTGAACTATTAATTGAACTAAAACCGGGCGCGACTCTAGCGTTACGAGCGCGGCGCTCATCTAATTGGCGGGCTGGCGCGGAATGGCGTGCAATGGCGTCGAATGGCGCGGAATGGCGCGGGATGGCGGGATAGCGCGGTGTCTGCCTCGCCCGCGTAATTGGTAAAGCCATTAGTCCCGCCTCGGCCCGTTGTAACCCACACGGGCGCTGATAAGCATCTTTGATGATACCTCTGTTTCGTCTCGTATTTGTTTTTTATGACACATGTAAGGATACTATAAGGAGATAGCAGGGCCGTAGCTAAATCGAAGTTTAAGGTAGGGCAAAAGAACTTTTTGGTAGGGCAGAAGCCATAATTAAGTGACTTTGTAAAAGGGAATCTATCGAATATTCTTAAGGCATTTCATTTTAAGGTTTTTCATTGAGTCTTTTAAGGTAGGGCATTGCTCCTCAACGCTCTCTTTTTAGCTACGTCCATGGAAAATAGTGAAATATTCAATATCTAGTAAACCTAAAAACATCGAAAAACGTAGAAAATATTGAATATTCCAAACATTTAGTGTTCTTGTTAAAAAAAATATCTGAAGAACTTTGAAGTTCTTATGAATTAAAAAAAAATGAAAAAATTGTCAAAAAAATACAACCATCCGATTTTTTTTTTCATCTTTGTATGTTTGTAATGGATAAAATTAAAAACTACTCAGCCGATTAAAAAAAAATCACCTATAGAAAACTACATTGCTAATAAGTAAGATAGGTTATATATTATTTTCGAAAATTTTATCTACTCGTGCGAAGCCGGGGCGGATCACTAGTATATCAGTACTAGTATACGAGTTTATACGAAGAACAATTGTTATTTTCATATTTTGACTTCTTCTTCAGGAGACTTGTTTTATTCATTTTATATTTGCAATTCGGTTAACTGTTTTTTTGAAATATTTTTCCTCTTAAAATTAGGGGTTGGGTTCTCTTCCGGGAATATGCCAAGTCGCGGGACTCAAACTCTATTTGTATCTCGAAATTAAATTGTCCCGTCTCCTGTCTCGGTACTGTTCGGTTTGCGTACGAAAGATTTTGTTGCTTGGCCTCCTGATTGCCGTTAGCATGTCCAAGGGTGGACTGGCATCTTTTTCTTTTTCAATCAACTTCAAAAAGATGGAGGTTTTCCTTTCGGTTGTATTTGTTTGTTTGTCACCTCATAACTCCGTCAGTTCTAAACAGATTTGGAAAATACTTTTTTTTTATTTAAACGGATATACTTACAGATTGTTACCATAGAAATATTATCAAAATTTGTTTATTGAAGTGGGTTTTTTTTGTGGGGACAATTTTTAATTATTTTTGGGGCTATTTTATCTTCTTTAACAGTCCGATCGTACCCTGAAATGATATCTTAGATAAAGATTTATCTACTTTGCCTACTCACAAAAAGAGAGGAGTTAATTGGCATCAATAATAAAAGGACTAGCATCTTAATAATTAAAGATTCTATTTCACAGATAACCGACTTCAATTGTGGTAAAACCAGTGATTTTTATTTAAAAATTAAACTACTCAACCGATTTTGAAAAAAAAGTCTATAGGATCAATATTTAAGTATATCCCTTCAGATAAAAAAATCCAAATCGGTTTAGAATTGACGAAGTTACGAATTAGCAAAAATAAAAATAATACAACCGAATTGAGTACCTTCTTCTTTTAGAAGTCGGTAGAAATAATAATGATTACAATTTTCTCTGTCTCTCTCTTTCTTTTTTCTGTTTCTCTCTATTATTGTTCTAGCATCATGCAAGCATTACTGTAACAAATTGGAATGGATTTTCGTAATTAACTGTATTTGGTGTATGTTTTATTTTGATATACCTTTTAGAAGTAATCTATTCCATAGGTTATTCATAAAAGCAAAATCTATAGTTATTTAGGTAGACATTTTTAATTCAACCAAGGGAAAACTTACCCGATGGCGAGGGACAAAATGAAATAAGTCAAATTTTCATAATTATTCGTTTCTTGAGGCAAAATGTTCAATTTCATGAAATATTCACGGGTCGCTGGCTTTCGGCCGATACAATTAACCCTGTAGGATAGACCTAAGTAAATTGTATAATTGTATATTATTGTTTATGAATTCGTCACTATGGGCCAACTGGTCTGTTTTCACCCTCACCTTCTCATCTCTCACTGGTGCCCCACCAGCGTATACTGATAGCGCAGGCGGAATTACTATTCCATTCTCACCTATTAAAAAAAAAAGATGTGTTTTTGTGATTAAATTGTGCAAAAAAAAAATAAAGTGTATAGAGACCAGTGGGTAATTATATTAAAACAAATAATGATAAGAAATTTGTTGACACATTTAAGAATACTTTTCAGTACTCGGAATCGAGTCTGTCTACAAGTGTATTGTTTCGTAATACTTCGAGTATGCAATAAAAAAAAAAATATAAAATCAAAAGAGATTGTAAAAGGAATCATTCAAACGGGTTCAGATGGCGACGTAATAAAATAAAAATAAAAAAACATTCTCCTCGATTTAGTCGCTTAAAAATAACCTATATGAAGTTTTGTACTAGGGCAGCATAAATCAAAACAGTTGATAATGACATACGTAAATCCGTCGCCGGCGTTTATCCCGCCGATTTTCGAAGCCGGCCCGCAATGGATCCCGTAATTACAACGGCCCCCGAGTCCTGACTCGTCCGGCTAATTACGGCGGCGATCCCGGGCCGGGCTAATTACAGTCCCGCGATCCCCGGCGCAGCTAATTGCTGTCCGCGGGTAATTCATTGCACTAATTAGATACGTGATTCACTTTGAGGATTACTTATGGCAACATAGGCTTAGTTCAGTTGCGGGATGAGGGTGAATATTTCAATAAAATGGACCACGATAATAATTCAAAATTTAGACATGGTCATTTGGTACAAATTGCCAGACGAGAGAAGAGCCAGAGTATACAGTATAGTGAGAGAAAGCTCAAATGTCAAAAATGACAATTCAAGATAAAATATCCTGACACAAATATTTTTTTTTAATGGGGCTATTTGACCCCATTACTAACAATCCCTTGCAATCGGTTGCTATGTGTATTGCTCTGTAATTTATTAACAAAAATATCCGAGTCACTACAGTATGTATTAAATACTAGGGGGGAAAGAGATTGTTAGTAATGGAGACTGAGAATCCCATTGTTAGCAATATACCCAACCAGGTCGACCTCCTCGCGGTTCCCCCTGGAAACTATCATGGTTAATTCCTGATGAATTCATCATGATGGGCTAACTGGTCTGTTTTCATTCTCATCTATCACCCTTCACTGGTGCTCCGCCAGCGTATCCCGTTAGCGCAGGCGGGGTCACCATACCATTTTCACCCATCAAAAAAAAAGTATGTATTAAATATTTATGGTTTGAAATTGTAGTTTACTAATTGCTAATTATTAGAAAAATATTATTAAAAGATAAAACCGTATTGCAAACCAAATAAATTATTGTGCGATGAAAGGTGTGGTTTCAATTTCCTTCTTCAAATTTTCATTAATTGTATAATGAATTATTTTACGTTATTGGTATAAGTTTTTTTTGTATTTTACTCAATAATATTCCTACAGTAATAAAATAAAATCATTTTTAATATTAATACTTAATTAACTTCAGAAAACTATTTAGGTAATTCAATTGTGTTAATTTATAAACATAAAAGTTTTAACAAGTTTTATTTACACGAATCTTTTTCATGACAGTGGTGGCATCTATAGTTTATTTAGCTTCATATAATACAGCGCCATCTGTAAGGAATTGTATACTAGATTGTTTTTCTCCGGTGAATACTTTCCATGCTTCATTTTACTAAAGTTGTTGCAGATTTTGGTAAAGATGGCGCTCTCTATGCTTAATGTTTATAACACAATAATTAGTTAATTTTTTAATTATTGAAAACAATGTAAAAGTAACTAAATATTTGTAATATTTTCAACAAAATATCGAATTATCTCTGTAACATAATTAATTTTTTTAAAATATAAGAAATGTTTTGGTGTACTATATAAGGCAAAGAGAAAAGAAAAATATTTCATAATAAAAAAGATAATTTACACTTATATAATGAACAACAACAGATGATAAAAACTCTTTTTTTTTTTGTTTCAGAATGCGCCGACTCAAGAACCGGTATATAGAAAGGTGGCTATAGTAGAAAATTTCTTCGACATCATTTATACGGTTCACGTTGAATTAGAAGGACGACCTGGGAAGCATGCTGGACAGAAACGTACCTACAGGACGGTAAGTGATTTTTTTAAATATAATATTTACTTCTGCAACAAATCACTATTAAAATTTTGATAAAATTATTAACAAACAAAGTCGAATTAAGAAAAGAATGGTTCTGGTTTTAAAATCGATATAATATTAAATATTGTGGCATAAAATTTACTGCATAAAAATATGATTGTGTATATTTTTGGAACACTACCATCTAGCGGGAGCACAATTAACTATTAGTTTCCATAGTCGGTCTGTTCCAAAGTATGCAAACTGTAGTTTGCATAAATTGATACTAGATGGCGGTAATGTCTGTCAAGGATTTCTTTTTAATAAATTATATAAATTCTTTAGTTATTATGGACGATTCTTTTGTTTTTGCAAATTTTTGTAAGTTAAATTAATATAAAATAAGTGATATTATTATAATTATTATAGAACTTGTACCTGTGTATGCGAATTGTAGACGTAACTTACAAAAATTGTTGTCTAATTTAGTTTTTAACGTCCAATTATTGCTTTTGCTGTATATAAAATTTATTTTGTCTTATTATAAATTCAAGGATAGCTTTGTTCCGCTTTAATAACAATATAAATTAAAAAATGAAAAAAAGCAAATGAAAAAGGAAATCTTTTAAATTTGTGATAGACTTTTGTTTGATTCACATAGACAAGTTACTCCTAGATATAATAGTAACTAGTAACTAGTTAGTATCCAGGATACGATCTATCTGTTTTGTTGTTCTGAGCAAACACAATATTTGCCGACCTTGACCTTATAGTAAGGATAGTATCTATTACATTGGCAAAGAAAAACCTCTTACAAGTGGGACGCGAATGTGCACGGGATAGGCCGAATCCTCCCATTTTTTACCACCTACCGCCCTTAATCTGAATTTGCCGCCATCATTTTTACTGTCCTGGGCAACTGCCTAATTCGAGTCTCTGCTAGAACCTGAAGACTCTATGTGTATTGTAAAACGACAATTTGTGAAAGTCTTTGAAAGGGTTTGTTAGAATTGGAGATGCTGGTCCACATTACTAATCATTCAGGTCGACCTTCACGCGGTCACCCTGGAAATTATCGTGACTAATTCTCAGTTTATTCGCTACTGTCTTCATCCTTCTCGTTTCACCTTCCATTGGTACCCTGCCATTGACGGGTACCCAATTTCTTTTTTATCTACGGAATAATTAAAGATTGCGTTCCCAATAAAAAAAAAATTAAATTCAACGATACCGCGATTAAATAATAACCTTCAGTACTGGCGGCCATATCGTTTTGCATTTGACCACATAGTAAATATTTATTATGTTATTTAAGAGCGGACACTACTATTATGTTGACGAAATAGGAAAGTGATTCTATGTAACCACCTAGATGTACTAACGCAATAATTAAAGATTATGCTCCACAAAAATATACCGATTTCAATTGTAACAAAACCAGTTATTTTGAACTAAAAACTAAACTACTAAACCGATTTTGATAATATTTCTATAGGATCAAATTGTAAGCATATCCTTTTAGATGAGGTAACAAACATAAAACATTTCCTACTGAATTGAGTACCTCCTTCTATTTGAAGTCGGTTGAAAAAAGCTAAGATTGAACTGGAACTGTCCAGTTTCTTACACATTAGATATAGAAACGAGAAAACTAAGAAAAACTGTATTTAGCAGTTTTATAAACTGATTCATAGGCTGAATACCATTACGTGGCGTCATCATCATATCAGCCGTCATCTGATTACTACTATCTATAATGTAGGTCTCGTCCATAAGAGGGGGTTTTACCAGTAGTTACCACGCTTGGTAGGCGGATTGGCAACCGCAGTTAGGCTTTTAGAGAAGTTTTAAGAGGTCCTCTGCTGCTCATCGTCTCGTCCATTAAATTCCCTTAGTCGCCTCTTACGACACCCACAGGAAAGGAAAGGGCATTCTATGTCGTGATCACACGACAATGTATACGTGCCATAGAAGTGGTAACATAGGTTTTCTATACAAGTGACAAGCGAATCTATCGACGGGCTCATGTGATAAAATGAGATAGCAACATCCGATGTCTCATTTTAACTCATGGACTCGTTAGCGATAATGATTCCATCGATGTTCGTTTGCTACTTGTCTAGAGGGGCAGGTTTCTATGCGATAACAATGAGATAATCTCTATCTAAATATATTTTCAACCGATTTCAAAAAAGGAGGTTCCATGTTCGATTCTGTGTATTTTATGTGTATTTATTTATTAAATAAATACAAATTAAAGTAATTTATTAAACTTTATACACCTAGATAGAGTAAATGGTGGATTTAACACCTCATGGTGTTATCTACCAGTGACCGTAGACAGAAATAACAGAAAATATAATTGACGGTGCAACGTAATGAGGAAATCAATAGAAATAAAAAAAAAAATACAAGTTATGTTGCAGAACACTTACTTATGTATCATTACATGACAGTCCAAAAAGGTGTGTAATGTTTTCAGGGTCTGTGTATGTTTGTAATTTTTTTATTTTAATTTTTGTTGAGGTTTCAGCACGCCTGGGTAATTATCCCAGCTTCATAGGGAATCTCTAAATGTTAGGTTTATCGTGTCAATTCGTCTAGGACATCGTTACCAATTTCTTATATGGTGGATAGCTTCTTATTACCTAAACATGTTTGGATGTATCTTAGGAGTCTTTATATCGTTCCATATGACATTAGCTATAATATTTTCAAATAAGAGTATAATTTTGACTTCAAAAAGAAGCGGGTTCTCAATTGGGTTGTAGTATTTTTTATTTATATTTGCTACCTTATAACTCCGTCAGTTGTAAACCGATTTGAAAAATTGTTTTTTCTTTTTATCTGAAAGGATATATTTAAAGATTGGTCCCATTGAAATTTTTTCAAAATCAGTTCAGTAGTTTAGTTTTTAAATCAAAATAACTAGTTTTATCACATTTAAAGGTTTTTTTGTGGGACACAATCTTTAATTATTAGCAGGACAATCATGTTGTTATATATAATGTACTTGTTGTATACATAGTGTTTTTTTTTAAACACTCTCATTTCGGATATTTTTCACAGATTACCGAGACGTACGCGTTTCTGCCTCGAGAGGCGGTCACGCGCTTCCTCACCGGATGTGCGGAGTGCGCGCGGCGTCCGCGCAGCGCCTCTCCTCCACCACTGCCAACACCTTCGCCTTCCCCTACCAGGCACCCGACATACCTCTCATTTCTACCTCATTGCACCACAGACTACACTCGAAATTGGGAATCAGAAATCGACGCGGCACATTCCAACTATCCATACGAACCTAAATTTGACTACACAGACCTCCAGCCGCTCAAGAAAGTAGAAAGCCCAAAGCCAACAGAGGTAGAAGACCAGGAACCGACGTATATAGAACTTACGTCAAAGAAAGTCAACGGGTTTGATTCAACACTGAATTATAGTAGAAAATCGCCAGTCGATCCAGCGATTAGAGAAGAAGAACCTGTGAAGGCAGAACCTGAAATAGACAAAGATGAGAATAGTTTGATAGACGTAGAAGATGTTAAACCTGATAGTCCACTGCTTCTCGTATCACAAAAACAAAATGAAGAAGAACAGAAGAGTGGGGTTAAAGAGGAGCCAAGCGTGAAAAGTACTAGGACGACAGAAAACGTAGAAGCTAAAGAGATTAAGACTGAAGTTAAAAAGGAGAAGAAGTATAATCCGTTAGACGTCGCAAATTTGACGTCGAAAGATCCTCCAAAATCGAGATCACCGCCGAGGAAAAAGTTGTTACCTACGAGTATAGAGTATTTAAATACATACAGTAGATTTCCAAAGCCATGGAGACCTGACGGTGCTTATTACGAAGAGGAGATGGACTACAGCGTGCCCATTACTACGGCGTATTTGAAACATATGAGGAGTATGGCGTACCAGGAACGACTCGATTTGGAAAATAAGGTGAGTTCTGTAAATTATAATATTAGTTCTAGTAACATGTAACATTCAGTATTATGTTTTTATAAGTGCCAACATAATTTATAGGTTTTGATTTATATGCCGTACTTTCCAATCGACTCACTAAAGTACATGTCAACAACATATTAGTAAAAGGATCGTATAAACGAATTCTCAACATAAACATATGATTTTGTGGGTTCGGTCGCGTTTTAACCCTGGCTTAAACTTCTACCAACAACCATTGCAAAGCTGCGGTGGTCAACTGGACCCCGCAAGCGCGCCTTTGTGTACAATGGAACCTTTGTACCCCCGCCCTTATTACTATTATTAAAAGCGTTTCGATTTTAAATTATTAAAATCAGAGAGTTTTGAAACGGGCAAAATTTACCTAGAGTTGGAGATTTTAGAAATTTCGCTTGTTGTATGAATTAATTTTATTTTATCGCGCTATCAAATGTAAAATAGAATAAAAATACTGACGTCACAGCATATTCTGTGCTATTCATGATGCTGTTCATGTCTATATGATTACTACTTTCCATCAATCAGATGATTTGTGTGTCAGCTAACTTGTCATTTACAAGCTGAAATATAAATGAATATTATGTTTATATTAGGGAATACTAGGAGATCAGGATTATATAACAGCTATAATGTAAGCTACCTGACAAATAACCGTGTAACGCTCGCAACGTCCTACTCGACCCCCGATTGATTCAGACGAATGTCCCGCACAAAGGACCACAGCGTCACGCCATAATCGGGCGCCGCATCTTTTCTAACTCATTTTTCTCGCTTGGGGCGAACTGGGAGGCCGGGGGTGGCCGACGGGGGGTAGGCACGAGGTTTCATCAGCCCGAGGGGGCGTCACGGTATTAGACAAGACACAAAAACGATGCGCGCCGAAGAAGTGGGCAAGTATACTTTCTGATAGCGTTTTTCTAGATTTTCTGAACCGAGGGCAATAAGTATTTTTTTCTAATGATATGAAATACTTATTATTGTAAAAAAATCAAGAAAAAATTAATAGTATTTTTCAATTTTTTAAATGTATGTTTTATTATAATTTAAAATGTTCTTGATGAGATATTTAATATAAACGTAATTATAAATAATAATATAATGAAATAAGAAAGGTACAAAATATATGTATGTAAAAATTGTTTATATACCTATGCACAAAAAAAAAATAAACTTCTTGTACTTAATTCCACGTCAGTTATTGCTAATTTATAATTAAAATAATAAAGTAAATTGTTAATTTGAAATATTCATATTTCATCAATATTATTTACTAAAATTCAAATGACAGAATGAATTCTAGATTTTGTATTAGGTATCATTAATGTATTTTTTTTTAGATCCAATATTTTGAGTAATGCGTAAACTACAAAGACTCAAGAAATATAAAATTATAAACCCTAAAATATAAAACAACAACCAAAAATATGTTGGTTTATTTGTTACTTTTTTATTTCAATTAAATTTTATAATCTTTAAAACTGACGTATGTTTTACTAAACTCATTTATGTAAGCCATGAGATAAAGTTTTATCATTCCAATTTATGAAATTCATAGAATGTAGAGTCCTTTGTTACTTGGATAATTATATTTAGACAGTGCTAGTAAAATTATTACATTATGTTTTTCTATTTAGTATATCAAGAAGAAGAGAAGTACCGAAAGTCAAATATTTTTGTCGTTTATCAACTCAAGCTTCTGTACTAATATTCTGTACTCAAGCTTCTGTAATAAATATTCAATTTCACTAGTTTATTATTTTATTGAAATAATCTCCGATTTCCCACAATATTTTCCTTTACAACCTTAATCGAGGGAACCATACAATTATCCTAAAAACAAACAAACCTCCGTAAACTAAATACGCACGAAAATATCCGTCTAACAAAAAGTTTATGTTTGACCTTTTTCGTGTGGACCCTCTCGAAGGGTCAGTCGTAGCCCGTCCATAAGAGGGTATCGTCCCTTCGACCCCCGAAAGTGCCTTATCCCCCTCGCCCGGACCCCCGCATCGCAGTGCGACTTGTAAGATTGATTGGGGCTCCTTCAGTCCATTGCCGACCCCCCTTGTGGGATATTCGACCCTCCCCCCTTTTTTCTCGGGTACTATGTACACAAACGTAGTGCTGCTAGACGTGACTCGTAAATAGTTTTGTTGTGCTAACGTTTAGGTCTTTATAAAATATATAATATTAAAAAAAATTAAAAAATATTTATCTTTTTCGGAAGAAGAACTACTTGGTGTTTGATTTATGATTAATGAAAAACAAAAATCGCTTTTTACCAGAGGGAGACTTTGTACAATATTCGTCTGCTTGGGCACCTCTGTCTTTTCGTGTTTCTGTAATGAAGCAGTTGTGTTTGTAACGCTGTTTAAAGAGGGTATGGCAATTAAATTACAGACTGCAGAGATACCATACCAGAGATACCATAGTCCTCAGGAATGGCAACGTATAATGTGGCAGTGATACCCTATCACTGGCGATACAGTATACTCTGTTATATCCATGGTATTGTTCATGTCTATAGGCTACGGTTACAATTTTCCATCAGGTGGGTTTGTTTGCCATTCTATGTTGCATAAAAATATATATCTCTCGTGTTTATGGGGAGATAGCGACATAAGATGTTGTACTAAACTAGGGACATCGAAGTTTTTATGTCATACTCGTAAATACGTCGTGTAGCTATAATAACAGTTGAACTATCCAAAATTAGTAATTAGTACTTAAGAATTGAATAACATTGTCCAAGAATTTGGTGTGAAAGATTAAAACATTATTTTCATAGGTACTATTTATGGTATACATCGTAGTTTTTCGCATGTGAAAAGTATGCCATTTGTAAACATATTAAAGTTCAACAGTTCAGCTGTTTAAGTGTAGTTGAATAATAAATACCAGACAGGCATCACAAAAAAAAAATTGGATACAATTTTCGTAAAAAACAATCAGATAAAAAAATCTAAAAAGTATCGACTTGACTTCTGTTGCTCTTATTATGACACTTAATTCTATTTTTACTTCAATATCTCTTATGTAGTCTCTAGTTTCATTATGCTATTTTATAAATACCCATATAGGTAGGTTAACCAGGCAACTAGGTAACTTGATCAAATAATCGTCTTTATTTTAGAATTATGTAGGTATTTTCAATTTGATTTTATAATAATAACATTAAAATACGATAACATTAAAGAAGCCAAATATGGTGTCTCTAATATTATATTAGATACACTATATTTGACTTCGTAGACATGCAGTGTGTAAACGTTAAGTACTCCTATAGAGCTCTTCCATTGGAAGCCAACTCCCTCCCGCCTCCTTTTTTCTCCGGCAGGGGCTGTTAATAACACAACAGGCTATTTTATTCGGCCGCCACTTGCGGCTCGTGCGACTGCTTTGATGTCAGAGATTAGAAGTTTGTTTAGTTCCCAGTATGTTATTGTTCATACCATTCGAATGTTTGATGAACGTTGCGGCCGCTAACTTTTCACGCTAAATACATATCACATATTTGTTCAAAACGTAAGAGTAAACTGGGTGCAATTTGATTTGTATGTCCCGTCTTACTAATATGAAATATGTGAAATTTTGTTAAGATTACATTTTTTTTGTGTCAATGTATTCCGTGATGTTCCTGCTATCATGGTTATCAATTTTGTCAACTGTTGGGCTCACGGGCTCAAGTTGATGACTTGTTTGGAAAAACTGTTTTTGATTATTACTATTATTATTTATAAATGAATAAACACCTACATCCATTTGTATTATTTCGCTTATGTGCGATATTTTTGAAAGAATTTTATAATTCGATAAATTCAAGAAACATATACTTATATATTTGGATAATGGCATAATCTAATTAGAATTAGTTTCTTATTATTCATTTCATATATTACAATTGCGTAAATATTTTTATATTTCACTAGTTTTTACCGGCGACTTCAAAAATAGTATGTATATGTTAAACTTAAAGTCGATTGGTTGAGCGATAAAAATATCTAGAGGTAATAAATAAACAGTTTCACTTTCTATTTATTTTTAAAGTATAATTCCTATCATCTCATCTTTTATCAGTGAGATATATTTCCAATATTATTTTGTAGATTTTCATATTAAACACTAGGTATAATAAATAGACACTGACTGACATTGATGGATATAATGAAACCTGAAAAGTCATTTTTGAAGAAAATCCTCACTTAAATACAAACGTTTTCTGTCCAATATTAAAATTTAATTGGAAATAATACTCGTTTTAATAGTTTTCAATGAATATTTAAATCGAACAGATGCTAGTCTAACTAGGTTTAAATGAAGGGCGTTTCTTGAAACATCCATTACTGATTTATTATATTTGAGTTTCAAGATAGAGATCCACCCTTCGAAAAGCAATTTGCTACAGAAGAATGCGTTTGCATCGTTCGACCTTGAACGTGTCACAATTAAGTTTCGTCCCCTTATGATCGATTTTGCGTTTTAATAACAGTGGGGTCCTCTGGCCCCCGTCAGCATTTGTAGGGTTGATTTTCGACAACTGTACCGATAACTATGCTATCGATATTCGTGTTTTATTCCTTCGATTTTAAGGTCTGTTTTATTTTGGCATGTGATTGTTGTATTGTGAATTAGAATTTATTTTGTGCACGTGTTTACACGGCTGGTCAGTCGAACGTCTTTGAATATTTAGATATTGTGGGTCAAATGTGTCTTACATTGCTATAAATAAATTTGAATTGTATATTAGTGGAATAAAGTGTTTTATAGGATGACAATTAATTTTGACTAAGTAATGTTTTAATCTCTGAAATATGTATAAAAAAAAAAAACAGTGTAAAACAAAGTTTCTTTGTTCTAAATTAGAATATACAAAGGTAAGAAATACAGATTTCACTATCATTTAGGTGTTTTCCACGGTAAGTTTGTTTTTGTAACAGGTGTTTAGAATAGCAAACAAGCTCTACGGCCTACCTGAT